GCGGCTGGACGCGCGCCGCGTTGCGGTACGAGATGCTCCCCTTGTAGCTGACCCGGAGCACGGCGCGCTGCTGGATCAGTTTCTCGAGCTCGGCGCGCGTGCGCTCGGGCTCCGGGCCGTGCCGCCGCCGCACCATCCGGCAGATGCGCTCCAGGTCCGGCCGCGCCTTGCGCGAGCGCAGCGAGTCGATGGTGTCCAAGATCCACTCTTGGTAGTGCGGGGACGCAGCGGACGACGAGGCGGCGGCCGCCGTGGTGGCGGCGGCCGCCGTCTCTGGCGGGGGTAGGGCCGGGGGCCCCGCCATGCCTCCCGCCCGGCCCGGCTGCACCGTGCGCGCTGCCTCCCTCCCAGCGCGGCGCCCCCCTCCCCGACTCCCCTCCCTCCGCCGCTGCCCGCCTCCTCCGCCTCGCCCCCCCGGGGGGCGCAGCGCCTCGGCGGAGCGGCGGCGGCGCTGCTGTTTCTTTGCGAAAAAAAAGAGAGAGAGGGAGCAGGAGAGAGAAAAAAAAAACAGTGAGAGAGAAAGAAAAGAGAGAAAAAAATATGCACACACTCACTCACTCGCACGCACGCACACACAGCCCCGCTTCTGCTGGGCGCGCGCGGGGCCGGGGATGCGAGGAGGGAGGAGGGGAGCGCGGCGCGACCGGCCCCTCCCCGCCGCCGCCGCACGCGCGCCCTGCGCCCGGGACACTCCGGCCCCCCTTCCTCCCCTCCTTCTCTCCCTCCTCCCCACCGCCCGCCTTCCTCCCTCCCACCCCCACGCGCCGCTTTTAAGGTGGAGCCCCGGCCCCCCGCCCGCCCCTTTACCCTGCGCTCCGGCTCACTCCGGCTAGCTCCGGCCCCCCCTTACAACTCCCGCGCGCTTTTTAAGGAGGCGCCGCGGAGTTGGCGCCGGGGCGGGGGCGGGGGAAAGCGGCGGGCGGGGGAGGGGGAGGAGAGCACCGGGGGGGGGGGAGAGGGGGCGGGCGGGGCAGGCGGGCGGTGCTCGACCGCCCTCAAGCCATTGGGCGCGGGACCCAGACGTCCCCGGCGCCCAGCCCCCCTCTCCACGCCTCCCCGGCGCGCTGAGCTCTCGGGACCGTACTTACCGGGAACTCGCCGCCCGCGGGCCTGGGCCGCCAAGCTTGGCCGGCGCCGCGGGGACCTTCTGGCCACCGCCGCCCTAGCGTCCCTGGGACGCGCCCGGCTCCGCGCCGAGGCTTCGGGAGGGGGCGCACACCGCCCCCCCCTCCCCAGCCTGTGTCGCCCCCGCCGCCGCACGGCCTCCCGGCGCGCCAGCCCTAGCGTCTTAGCGCTCTGCCGGTCCACGGCTGGACGCAGAGTGGGCGCGCCACAGACTTGGGGACCCAGAATCTGGGGTCAAAGGGCAGTTTGGCGCCCCTTCTGCGCGATGGGGCAGTTCAGAATTCCAGCCAAGCCCACTTTGACACTGACTCGTTAAGTCTGAGCATTGGGGTCCAAAATTCCCTTTTCAATACCCCTGGGGGGTGAGTGGAGTGGGTGACCGAAGTCGGGAATACAAACGACACTTTTTTTTTTAAACAAAACTTTATTGGTAATAGTTTTCAAATATGTTTACAACAGCACACTGTTCAAGAGGAAGTCTCGTCCTTCGCAGCACACAGGTTGAATCGCCCCCTGCACCCACCCGGGGCCCCACTCCAGGCCTGAGCTCCTCCTGGTTGGGGAGAAGGACAATATGGGGGTGAATGGTGGCTCCCCACAGAGCTACTTTTTTTGAGGAAAAAAACCCCACAAATTAGACATGGGAGAAAGAGAAGGGGTGATGGGCATCTGACAGCTAGAGTGATGACCAGGATGGGGTGGGGGACCTGTGGAGGTCGAAGGGTGACTAAAACGCAGCCCCTCCCAGGCAAGCCTAGCCTTGAACCCTGGACCAATTTGGGGGGTGGGGGTAGGCTTTGCCTCTTCCTTATCCTTTGCAGGGTTTACCTTCTGAGCTGAGGAAGCAGAGCATTAAAAATCCGAGCTGAGAATAAAATTAAAGGAGTTTGTGGGGATGTTGCTGAGAGGGAGAGACCCTGGGCTTGTGGCTCCCCCTCTATTTTTTGGGGGGACTCCTCTTTGGCAGGATGAGGGGCAGCTGCTTTGCCTGGCTCCCAAAGCCCAAGGGTGAAGAAAGGTCTGTGGGGAATGAAAAAGGTTAGGGGCTTCCTGAAGGAGCAGAGACCCTCCAGGCTTGGCAGGGGACCCCCAAAGAGGGGGCAAGAGAACATTAGCAGCAGGGGGCAGAGATTCTAACTCCAGCTCCTTCCTTTACAAAACGTTTACTTCCCAGCCTTGTTAAAATGAGGTGTTTTGGGGTGGGGGAGAATAGGGGGACAAGGAAAGCCGAGTGGGGATACAGGAAGGAGGGAGGGAGGCACTGGTGGAATTTAAATAATAATTTAAATGGTTTTCTTAAAAAATCCTAGCAAGCAGCCCAGTGAATTTGTCATTAAAATCTCTCCTTTCCCTGGCAGGACTGCTCTGGAGGTGAGGTTGGCTTTTCTGTTCATTTGCCCTAAGCCTTCAGTATCTCCAGTTTGCTTTTGTGTTTCTGTGTAGGAAGTAAGGACTGCAGTTATGCTTGAGCCCCTCTTTCTACACCATGTCCCTGGATATACCAGGAAGACCTGGTCTGACTAGGGCTGGAAAATTCATTTTAAAACAGGCAGAAGTGGTCTGGGATGGAGGATAGTGGGGGAGGGAGGAGGGAGAGCGGGCAGGAGGGGCAAGAGGTTGAAGAGGAGCAGCTGGTGTTTCCATCCCTCCAAAACTCGGGGCTTCCTGCTCCTCCTACCCTGGAGGGAGGGGTGGGGGTGAAATTAGATGCAATGAACTCTGGGGCCCTCTGGCTGTTCAATTCAACCCTCCCACCCACCCCCACCAAAAAAAAAAGAAAGAAAACCCATGGGGCACAGGCACACCCCTAAAACTCAGAAAACTCCTTGCCACACTTCTCATTGATGGAGACCCGAATCTCTTCCTCCTCATAGTCATCAAAGTTACTTGTGTCTCCAGGGCCTTTAAACTTTGGTATGAAGGGAGCTTCCACCTGGGAAGAGATCAAGAACCACCCAGATCTCATTAATCAACATAATCATAATTACTACAATAAATGTGAGTGGCCTAATTTCGTGCGATATTTACTCTGACCCAGGCCTGTGCTTAACATTAGGTGCGGACCCCTCTAACAGCCCAACTCACTAACAAGGAAATACTGCCTAGACATGGGAATTTCTGCCTAAGGTCACAGTGACCAAATAAACCCAGAATCCCCTTTATTCTCCTCGCTCCCATACCCCACAACAGCGCCAAGCTACTTCCTTACCTCCTCTGGGCTAAGCCTGAGCCTAAAGCCTGTTTTTAATTTCTTTTCCCTTTCTGTCAGCTGCCCTCCCTTGACTCTTCTTGGCTTCAGACTACAACCAGGGGGAAGGCCCACCTTCCTCTGGTAGATGGCAATCCAGTCAGTCGTGGCAAACCACTTGTGGTTCTTGATGTCATTGACTCCGTTCTTAAGGTTCCCGAAGCGTTTGGTGAGGTCCACCTGTAGGAGGTTCCGGAGTAGATCCTTCAGGTCAGAACTGAAGTGGGACGGGAATCGCACCTGGAAGATGTAAGGACAGAGATCGGGTCAGTCAAGGGATTCTTTTCTGTTTTATGGGGAGCTAGTCTGGAGCTTCGGGGAGCCCAGGAGCCTGCCTTCATAGGATAACCTTATCTGGTAGAGAACCCTCAGCAAAATCCCCTGTTAAAACACAATTTGCTGGGCTACCTCTGGAAAACCTGATACAGGAGGGCTGGTTGGGGCCTGAGGATCTGCATTTCTGATAAGTTCCCTACTGGTGTTGGTCCTGCTGGAGAGAGAACCACTGTTCTACGATGACACCCATTATTACATTAGGAAACTGAGGCTCAAATGGGCTAAATGGCTTGCCCAAGGTCACACAGAGGAGCTGGTAAGGGCAATTCCATCACAAGTCTGGTGGATTCCAGAGCCTGCATTCCTGGCCAGTGTTTCCTAAGCAGCCTTGTGAGCTTCTGAAATACAGACACTTAGCTAAGGCTCTTCCATTCTTTAGGGTTTAGGTCAACTTTCTTCCAGAAATTTTCTCCATCTCTTTGAGCCCATAGCCTTGCAGCTGAGCAGAGATCTACAGCTACCAGTACCGACCTCAAGTCCATCTGCCTCCATGGCCGGGGCAGCTCTCCCAGGGTAGGGACACTGTAAAATGCTACAGAGAGAGCTGTGGGTCATATCCTCTGCCTTGGAACTTTCTATGCCCCACCCCCTGGGCTGTTTTTCTTGGTGATGTCTCTTCTGTCTTGTGGCAGGCCACTCATCTTTCCCTTCTAGTGACATTCCCTATGTGCCCAGCACAGAGTACCCCCCCCCTAGCCAGTGGTTACTTTTCCCATTCGCCCTGAGAGGTAGGTGTGATTGGCCTTTTCCCAGGTGGGGAGGGTGAGGCTCCGAGGGGGCTTCACAAGGTTTCACAGCCAGCAAGTGGCAGAGCTAGACTCGAAGCTGGGCCTCCTGTCCATCCAGACTGAGCTGGGAACGACTCCCACCATTCTGAGGTGACTCTGGGCAATGAGCAGCGCCTGTGTAAAGGTGTCGCAGGTAGGCGGTGAGCTGAAGGCAGAGGTGGGGCCCTCTGCCTCTCCACTCACCACGGTGTGATTTCAGGTAAGACTCATCCCCTCATGGAGCCTCCACCTCCTCCTTTCTCTAGGGGTACCGCTGCCACAGAGCAAGGGGCTGAAGACTGAAGGGGGTTTATCTAGTGCCACTGAACGCATTCCCCAAATGCAAACCCTGACCATTCCACCTGCCCTAACTTACCAGAAGCCTTGGGGCCAGGCAGTCTGTGTTTGGGTAAGGGAACTTCTGAGAACACACACTACAGAGGACAACTACAGACAAGAGGAGCACAGGGCAGGCCAGGCTCTGCACCCAAGTGCTCCAGAAGACTTGGGATTTGGAAGCCCTGGGGTTACGACCCAGGGTCCGAGGCTGGAAAGGGAACCTGTGCTTGGTGCTAGCAATGTCTCAGCCTGTTCCAGTGCCGCCTGGGGGCTCGATGGAAAGGAGTGCAGGCTGCGGGGGGCAGAAGACTGCCACTGGGGTTTGGGGGTTGCCTAGTATCCACATCCAGCCTCACCTTCCCGGAGACAATTTTCTCATAGATCTGGATAGGCTGGTCAGCGAAGAAGGGCGGGTAGCCGGCTGCCATCTCATAGATGAGGACCCCCAGGGCCCACCAGTCCACAGCCTTGTTGTAGCCCTGGAGTGAG